TTATCAACAATTGTTGATGAAATTATTTCAATTCTTTTTTTTTGGATGATATTGTTTTTTTAATGGTTATGAATTTGTATGGTATGGTAGATGCAGTAATTTAATGAAATGTGTTCGGATATCAAAACTTTTATGGATGAAATTGTTGCATAATTTATTAGGATACAAAATATTTTCTATTTGAAAAAAAGGGCACTAATTTAATTAAAAAAAGGCGCCAATTTAATGAAACTTGTTCAGATTTCGAAAATTTTATGGATGAAATTGTTGCATAATATTTTTTTTAGATAATCTTGTTTCCTTCTTTCCTAAAAGTTTTGAAACGTAAACAATATTAAATAGTTTGACCGTAAAAATGATTAATGGAAGCAAACAGTCAAAACATAAAAATGCATGACAATAACTGTTGTTTCATATAATGGTTCATATGATGTGTAAAGTGTTATAGTTGTGAAACAGGTTCATATAATGGTTATTGTAATGGTTGATATGTTAATGTTAAGAAAATGGTGTGTAAAGCAACAGTGAAACCATTTCATAATAAGATTGAAACGGATCAATGTATTGAAGACATGAAAATGACAGATGTTTCCTCTAGTAATAGGTTGATTTGTGTAATGATTAAACGATGAAACCATTTCATTCATGAAATGTAATGGTGAAAAAATTTTGTTTTATTATTCAAAAAGTTTCATTATATTAACTTGACTACAGTATGTTTTATGTTTCAAAGTTTATTACGATATACCTAATTTCATCGGTCCTTACTTTGATCAATTTTTATGATAGATGTTATTTTGTTTATAATATTTGAACATAAAATGAAGATATTTTTAGCAAACCTATAATTTTCAAAATTATTCTAACATTTTTTGTTAGAATCTTTGGAAGTATAAGATGATATAAACTAATCTAATCTTGACCATTGATCAAGATTAGTTTGTAAGGTTTTCACAAATGAGAGTGATTTTCATTTGATCCCTCACATATATATATATATATATATATATGTATAAAAGTCTAAAATGAATTCAACAAATAAGAATTGATTAGGTCTTCCACTGTATGGGAAATTAATATGAGTAGAATCGATTAGGTCATTTGGTTTTTAATGACTGCTTTCATAAGTCAATTTTGGCAACCTTTTTTTTTTCTTCCATTGACCAGTTTACTTCTAATTCTTGTTTGCCATAACTTATCAGATATTCTACCACTAGAATTTGAAATAAAAAGCCTGTAAGTCATTGTAAGGAAATTTCAGTGTTTGAATTAATTTCAGTTGGTTTTAACACACGAATATGAATTTTAAATTGCAATAATATATTCTTTTCTTTTTCATTTTCATATATTTTTTTTAATTTTATATATATGCTAATTAAAATAGATTTTTTTTTCTTTAAAATTTAACTCACCTTAATCTAAAATGGATATTTGTTCTAACATTAATTCTTAATTAATTTATTTCACACGTCTAATATTTTGAATTGTGTCTATTTTATACTTTCATTATATCATCATTTTGCTTACATATACATTTTGTCTTAGAATGATTAAGAGACTCTCATGATGTAGTAAAAATAAAATATAATTGTTTGGTAATTGTTTACAATGAAATTAGGACGCTTAATGATTAAGGGAGGCCCATGATACAAAACCATTCGGAGGGTTTTAGAACCATTAAGGGGCTGTTTGGCAGTTGCTGAATGGTTTTGTACAGAATGGTTAAGTGGTTAGAATGGTTAAGAGGGTCAGAATGGTTAAGTGCTGAATGAAATATGGTTGTTTGGTAAATGTTCACTGAATGACAACAAATTACCATTTTAACCCTCTTCTCATTGCCTCTACTCTTTCCAAATATCAGGCACAACTCATCATAATAAGGATACCAAAATCGATTCAACAGATACCAAAATGATACCAAAATGGCTTGATTCAACAAATACCAAAATGATTAGCTCATAACTTGAATCCACCAACAATCAAATCGATTACTTCATTTAAACAACCCTAAGTTCATCGACATTGTTACTGCAGAGAGAAGGAAAAAGGAGACAGAAGGGAAATACCTGAAATCGAGTGGGAGACGATGTAGAAGACAACATAGTCGATGGAGAAGACGCTGGAGAACACGATCGAGTGGGATGAGGAACGAGGATCTCGCGTGGGAGGAGAGACCGGCGGGAAGCAGTAGGGGCGGCGACGATCGGGGGGGGGGGGAGACGGCCGGCGACTGGAATCGACGATGGGAGGGGGGAAGCCGGCGACTGGAACCGACGATGGGAGGGGGGAAGCCAGCGACTGGAACCGGCGAATGGAGGGGGATGCGATGTTTGGAATCGACGATGAGAGGGCAGAGTTGGAAAAGTAAACATCTGAATGGTTGAGTGAAGGTCTAGGTGCAAAATGGTTAAGAGGTTAATGTAACCATTAAGAAGTTGTTTTTTTTTTTTTTTGCCAAAGAGTCTTGACCTCTTACCGATTAAGAGGTTGGCTCTTAATGTAACCATTAAGAGCCAAACAAACAACCCCTAAGAGACAAATTTTTTTTTGTCGAACAAGATTCATCTCTTAATGATGCAAATGTTTTCTCTTAATGGAATTATTAAAAGGTAAACAAACAACCCCTTATTCTATAATTTTAAAGTGAATATAATCAATACTTGTAAAAAACTTTCGTATGATTTGGGTTCAAGGTAACATTCAAAAGATCTTGTAATATCACGTTTTGATGTATGTTTGAAAGTAAATATCAATTAGTGTATACGGTGCTAATCAATACTCATTTTTGGTTTGGGAGATACGTACAGTGTATATATAGATATATATAATTCATTAGTTATGAAATAGATATATGATAGCTTTATGAATAAGCCCTTAGGAAATTTCGTCAAAAATTAAGGGTGTAATTACTATTGGCCTGAAATTAATGTTGAGCTAATTAATTAAGATTTTATTTTCATCCATAACCTTTCAGTTTATAAATATGCTTATTTCGTTAAGCACTCTCTTTATAATAAAAATCGATAATTGAATGCAACATTTGATTTCATTTGGATAAATGCATCCGAACCCATCAAGACATTCTACAAGCATCATTGGTTTGACTTATTGTACATAAGATCGATTTAAGAAAGCCACATCACAAAAATTATTTCGCCTTGATTTTTATTTTCTAAATTCAAGATCGACTGCAAAATTATTCATAATCGTCAACAAAATGGAACGTGGAAAACTCAGACAAGTCAATATCATGGAAATTAAAATGTTATGTAACCAGGACCGTTATTCAATTATACGTTAAAAAATATCAGTAACATGTATAATACATTAATTTATGTGCAAATTATATTTTTACTATTTAGTTTATTGTTTGGTAGACGGTATAAGATAAATTAAGAGATTTATATAAGAATCTCATAATGTTGTATTTTAATATATGTGGATGATAATTGTCGATCTTGAGATGACAATTATGATCATGTTGTTGGAGGTATTGGAATTTGGGTATTTACATTATATTTTTTTGGTATTTTCTTAAAAAATATCAATGAAAAATATCGAACTTTAACGAACCATTGATATTTTTTGGATGATCCATTGGTAATCACCAAAGGAAATTTCTCTGGATGATTTTTATGAATAAAAGTTATTTGTTTTGTAACGAGTATTTGATTGATATTTATGCTAATGTGAACGCTATTATATATAATTTACTTTTTCTATTTATTTGAGAGGATTATCAAAATAGAAACATAAACTCCTTCCCTTTCATCAAGTGTTTTTCTCGATCAAAATGCCTCTTTATTCTATATATGGAAACAAACAATACTCGTTCATTCGAGGAATCGGCTAGACCGAGTTATTTCTCAATAACAATAGTTAAAGATTATTTTAGAACATTTTCAACAGATTCTTTAAAATAGCGAATTAAAATTCAAAACCTAAAAAAAAATCATCTCCAACAGATCCTCTATTTTGAAAAATAATATATTAATTTTATTGTTAAATAATTTGTATATATAATAAAACACCATTTCAGTTTCACCAATGTTTAACATTAAAGATTCCTGTTGATGCGAATATAATAAAAAATGTTTCTCTTTCATTGTAATCATTTATGGGGAATTCTTCAAATTTAGAGAAATTTACATCCTTTCTCATATTTTCTCCATTTTGAAGAAGTCATTGGAGCAAAAATATGCCAAAAATCGTCATTATTTTTTTCATTTTGGAAAAATTTGTTGAGAATACTCTTGAACTATCTTAACATTATTATATAACAATATAATATCCAAATGAAGTATTATAAGTTAATTCATAACTTTGCCAAAATAACATATATAAAATTATTTTAGATTAGTGGGTTGTGAGGCCCTCAAAATAAATAAATTAATATTTTTTTGTTTTTCTTTTTATTAAACTGCATATCCAAACCGTTAGGTAAGGCCCTCAAACAACATTAAGGTTTGCAGTTTCCTGCAAACTATTTTGTAATCAAAAGTAATTATTTTGCAAATAAGAGATGCAAGAGGAAGTTAAAAAGTAATTATTCAGGGCTATTTGACAATTGCTGAATGCTTTGGTACAGAATGATTAAGAGACTCTCTCGATATAGTGCAATATAATTGTTTGGTAATTGTGTACAATGAAATTAGGGCTTTTAATGTTTAAAGGAGATTCATGATACAAAATTATTCAGAGGGTTTTGGAACCATTAAGAGACAAACTTTTTTTTGTCATATAAGATTCACTTATTAACGATTCATAGGTTGCCTCTTAATGGAACTCTTAAGAGGTAAACAAACAACTCCCTAGTGATACTTCTGATTAAAAACTGAGTAATTAATTCGGAAGCAGTAGAACTACAAAGACACAAGCATAGAGTAGAAGTAAAATGCAGTAGACCGTCGCAAATGAACCCGTCAATAAAAGATGACTCTAGCAAAACCCCAACTATCCTTGCGAACTAGTGACGGAATCAGAGTGGTTAATATTTGACATTCCTACAACTTTGATCATCTTACTGTGTTGCTAAAATATCTGCTGCATAATTCGTCGCCAATGATTCATAATTTGCAACATGGTACTTGAAATTTACGCCAAAATTATTGGATTCATTAATACATTTAAAAACTTGATACATATGCTTGAGACATTACGAGAACTGAAACAAGGGGGATTACGATTTGGTTTCATATCTTATTGTTGAACCAATAGACTCCTTTGTTGTCGTCACCATCATCAGCCTCAACAAAGAAGCACTCAGTGGCTTCTCTCCACATTGCTTTGAATATTGGTGTGTCGTCAAACTGATAGTATTCTCCTAAGATGGGTTTGATTGCTTTTGTGGCCTCCATGGCATGGTAATGAGGGATGGTGAAAAACAAATGGTGGGCAACATGCGTGTCGGTGATGTGATGCAGAACGGTGTTGAAAACACCATAATCTCTATCCATTGTTGACAAAGCTCCCCTCAACCAGTTCCATTCGGTGGAGTCATAGTGGGGCAGTGACCGGTGAGTGTGGTGCAACCAGGTGATGACGACCAGGAACCCATAAACGATAACCAAAGGAGCAAAGTAGACCAAAACTAGCCAAGTGAACCCTTGCGCCAAGGCCAATTTGTAGACTCCATAGCTTGCTACAAGAAGTCCGACGTCGGTCAGGAGAATTTGGAGTCGCTCACGCTCGCTGTAAATAGGGCTCTTTGGGTCAAAATGGTTGGCAAATTTCTCGTACTTCCGGCCGGAAACGTTGAAACAAATGTACAAGAGCCAGCCTATGGTGCACAGAATCGTTAGCCTAAATAGGCGGCCAGGTGGGGTGTTGAGCAGTCTGGCTATAGAATTTAGGCTAGACTTCTTTTTGGGGACAAAAGATTCATCGTTCTCGAGTGAGGCAGTGTTAGAGTGGTGACGACGGTGGCTGTATTTCCAAGAGAAATAAGGGGCAAGCATACCAGTGTGAAGAAAGTAACCGATAGTGTCATTTAACCACTGGTAGTCACTAAAAGCTTGGTGGCCACACTCATGGCCAATGACCCACAAACCCATCTGGACACTACCTTGGAGGATCCAATAAACCGGCCACGCCACATAGGAAAGGGGGGTCGGAAGGTGGACGATATACTTGGCGGCAACGTAGTAAAAGAAGAAGGATAGAAAGAGATCAGTGAAAAGATAGGATGAAGATTTGATCAGGGATCGATTGAAACAGTGTGGTGGTATGGCTTTTTTGATATCACCAAGAGTGAATGGTGGTTTGGACGACGGGGCTCGCTTAACAACTTCAGTCCCGGAATTATCTCTCTCCGTCGCACGGCCACCGGAACCCATCTTTCAAGTTATTATTCGCTCTAAATATCAGATCACTTTTCAGTTTGATTCTGTATGTAAGAAACAAACTGTACAAGTATGCTCAGAGATAAATGTAAGGCCTCTGATGATCTACAATCGGTGAGATGTGCTTGGTATTTATATTGATAGTAATAATATTCTAATGCCATGAATTAATATTAAAGTAATGAGTCATAAGATTTGACCATCTACGGTCTACACAAGAGTTACGAGTTTGCCAGGAGTACTATTGGTTATTGCTTAGAAGTTGCCAAAACTCCTCTACTTTAAATTCAAAATAATTGTATAACTTTACTCTTCCTTCCTTTTTTTTTTTCTTTCTATTAACTTGAATATTCAGATTGCTATGTGAGCCGACTAGTTTCAGAACGACTACTTATTTTGCAAATAGTCCGAAGTCACTGCATTTAAACTTCCGTGGCCACAAAGAGATTTTTATTACTTTTTGGATTTGAACCTGAGACATCCAGGTAATTTTGACCTTTGGAACCAAGTTCAAACTAATCAGACACCAACCTTGTGGTGCATTGTTTTAAATATCATGATAAATTGCATTTTAGTTTTAGACCCTCCATTATACCATTTTAATTTCTCTAAAGACGTATTGTAATATTGTATACTGGTACATTGTTTTAAATGAGGTTATTCGAGAGACAACTTGATAATTTGTGATAATCGTGAGTTTCAATCCCAAACTGCATATCAAATAATAAATTAAGAAATTAATAATTTTAATAACTTTGACTTACAATTTTAACTAAAAGGAATTTTAGGCATTTTAAAAATATTATATCTACTCTTTTCTCTATCCGATGAACCTTATTCCGGTGAACACCATGTGAAATAAGATACATGTATAATGTGATACTTAAAAATATTACTACTGTTTAAAAAAAATACAAATATGTAATGACCGGGTTTATCGGTTATAAAGTTCGAGGTTGTTTTTAATTAACGGAAGAAAGTTGATTAAAAACAACCTCGAACTTTATTATCGGTTATTATGAGATATTTTGTGTTATCTGATTGGGTTGGTGAGAATGAATTAAGGAAAACAAAAGAAGTTAATTGTGTGTGGGTTTTGAGTCCAAGAAAACAGAACCCAAGGGAAAGAAAGAAGAAAATGGATTCTATGATTCATTAGCTGAAATTATTTTTGTTATACATCTTCATTTCCTTGTAATCATAAAGTGAGTTTTATTTTAAAAACTTTCTTTTTACAATGTTAAATAGAATCATATGGTTCTATATGTGGGGAAGTTTTGAAACTGTTATTATGTTACTTTTATCATAATTTTGTATTTTGATAATGTTAATATCAAATAATTAGAATAAGGCTGACATAATCAGAAGAGATGTAGTTTGGGATAAGTGTGCCATAATCAGAAGAGTTGTATTTTAGAATAAGGGTGACATAATCAGGAGAGACGTATATGGGATAAAAGTGACATAATCAACTGACTGTGAAAACTGGGATTTTTGGATCAAAATGAAGAACTGTTATCGCATCTTTATGATGCCATGACTTTGGTTTATTGCATGCTTATAATGCGATGACCTTGGGATATCGTATCCTCTTGATGCGATGGGATGCTTTTATCGTATCCTTGTGATGTGAGAAGGGTATTTGTCGCATCCTTGTGATTCGACAAGTTGGGATATCACATCTAATTGATGCGACAAGATGTGTTTATCGCATTTATTGGATGCGATGAGATGGGTTCTCACACCTATGTGATGCGAGAAAATGAGGTTGTCTCACCCTTGACAGCGGGTGCTCCGGTTTCTCCAAACCATGGGCAATACAGCGAGATACATTTTCATTTTAATGTTTCGTTTTATCTTTTTTTCTTCTCTGTTGATATAATACAGTTTATATGGTTTTGAGAAATACAATGTTTTTATTTTTAAATAAAAATAAATTTGAAGATATCATAAAATTTTGAAAAAATACATCGATATTAATGTCAAATTTACAATTTAAAAACTCTCTTTTTGTACAATTTATTTAATTCTATTTTTTTTATAATTTAATTTAGGTCTAATAGCGAAAAATTTATTTTTGATTTAACAATATAATTTTTATTAAGATAATGTTTCTGTTAAAAATCAATGATTATCTTAATTATATTTTAAATTTTTTATATTTAAAATGAGATGTTTATCATATATTTGAATATGCTTATCTGCACTTAGTTATACGAATCTAAAAATGAAGTTTTAATAAGTTATACTTACGCATAAATTACTTGTAATTTTAAATTTTAAGTAATATGCATTAATAAACTGTACTTCATGCATAAAAAATGGTTTTTAAAAGTTTTTGTCAAATGCTTTATAATATAGTGTAGATAATAGCGAAATAATTTATTTTTGAGTTAACAATATAATTTTTATAAAGATAATGTTTCTGTTAAAAATCAATGAGTATCTTAATTATATTTAAGATTTTTTATATTTAAAATGAGATGTTTATCCTATATTTGATTATGCTTATCTGCAATTAGTTATACAAATTTAAAATTGGAGTTTTAATAAGTTGTACTTACACATAAATTACTTGTGTAATTTTAAATTTTAAGTAATATGCATTAATAAACTGAACTTCATATATAAAAAATAATTTTTAAAAGTTTTTATCAAATATTTTATAATATAGTATAAATTACAGATAGATAATCTAAAATAATGGGATATCCCGATCCCAAGGGATTTTTTTTTCTTTTTCATATATTTAGTTGTCAAAGATCGCCAATAAAGATCGACCATCTCGATAACATTTGATCCCAAACTAATACGCCTTTAACTTTTTCGATTTTGTTTTTTTGGGGTATAATATTTTATTCGTTGTTCAAAGCACATTTCGTAATGAATTTTCATATGATAATATTGTATTTTAAAAATTGAGATAATATTAGCATGGAAATAAAAGTTAAATTAACCAATACATTTGGGGGGGGGGGGGGGGTTGGGATTGGTTGGTTAAAGTAATTATTAACTTATTCAGATGTTTTATGGGTAATAATTTTTTTTTAGCATTTGGATGTAGGAAAAAGAAATGAAATATTTATACTGAAATATTTATACTGGTTTGACACCCATAATAAGAAGATTTTGAAAAGTTAGGGATTGTTTGACAGTTGTTGAATGTTTTTGTGCAGAATGGTTAAATGATTAGAATGATTAAGAGACTCTCATGATATAGTGTAAAATGAAATATAATTATTTGGTAATTATTTATAACGAAATTAGGGCACTGAATGGTTAAGAGAGGCTCAAGATACAAAATCATTCAGAAAATTTTATAACCATTAAAAGACAGACTCGTTTTTTGCCAAACAATATTCACTTCTTAATGATTCAGAGACTGACTCTTAATGGAACTATTAAGAGGTAAACAAACAATCCCTTACTCCCTTCTGACTTATTAACTTATTCAGGTATGGTACTAGTAATAAGAAATTTTTAGTGTTTGGATGATAAAAAAGGGTATCTCATTTATTTTATCAGCTTATCCAGTGTGATACTGCTATAAGTTGATAAACACTTTTATAAAAAAAAAATAAGTTGTTTTAAATAAGCAAATCCTAAACACCCCACATAATCCTTGTCATGAACCACAAGGGTGGTGTCCAATTGGTTGGAGCTCCAAAGGTTAAAATACCAGGAGGTCTCTTCAAATTTAAGGTGGAATAAAAAATCCCTTGTGACCACAGAGGTTCAAATGCAGTGACTCCGGGCTACCCGCGAAGTGGATGGTCGCCCTGGGATTAGTCGACTCGCATAGCAGATTGGATATCCGGTTAATAAAAAAATCCTTGTCATGGAAATAAAAAATATTTATTAGAAGTTTGATCCTTGTTTATCAATTACACATTGTCTAACCAAATCAAATTTTTTCTCGATGCGTTACTCAAAAAATTCGATTCGGACGGATTCTTCCCCCATCAAATATAAAAAAATCATGGTTTCTTTCATTAATATGTCTTGCAAGTAACCTCTAATCAACGTATCAAGGCATGATTATACGGAATACATGACTAATTAAAGCCAGAATTACAATTTCTACATTTTGTTGTTGAACCAATAAACACCTTTGCTCTTGTCTTCACCTTCATCAGCCTCAACAAAGAAGCACTCGGTAGCTTCCCTCCACATGGCTTTGATTATTGGGGTGTCGTCAAACTGATAGTATTCTCCTAAGATGGGTTTGATTGCTTTTGTGGCCTCCATGGCATGGTAATGAGGGATGGTGAAAAACAAATGGTGGGCAACATGCGTGTCGGTGATGTGATGCAGAACGGTGTTGAAAACACCATAATCTCTATCCATTGTTGACAAAGCTCCCCTCAACCAGTTCCACTCGGTGGAGTCATAGTGTGGCAGTGACCGATGAGTATGGTGCAGCCACGTAATGACGACCAGGAACCCATAAACGATAACCAGAGGAGCAAAGTAGATGGTTATGAGCCATGTGAATCCTTGGGCTAAGGCCAATTTGTAGAGCCCATAGCTTGTTACAACAAGTCCGATGTCGGTCAGGAGGATTTGAAAGCGCTCACGGTCGTTATAAATAGGACTCTTTGGGTCAAAATGGTTGGCAAATTTCTCATACTTGCGGCCGGAAACATTGAAGCAAATGTACAAGAGCCAGCCTACGGTGCATAAAATCGCAAGCCTGAAGAGACGGCCTGGTGGGGTGTTGAGTAGTCTAGCGATAGAGTTTAGGCTAGACTTCTTTTTTGGGACAAAAGATTCATCGTGCTCGAGTGAACCAGTGTTAGAATGGTGACGACGGTGACTGTATTTCCATGAGAAATAAGGAGCAAGCATACCAGTGTGTAAAAGATAACCAATAGTGTCATTCAACCATGGGTAGTCACTGAAAGCTTGGTGGCCGCACTCATGGCCAATGACCCACAAACCCATCTGGACGCTACCTTGGAGGATCCAATAAACAGGCCACGCCACGTACGAAAGAGAGACCGGAAGGCGAGGGATGTAGACGGCCGCAACATAGTAAAATAAGGATGACAGAAAGAGATCCATGAACAGGTAGGATGAAGATCGGATGAGGGATCGATTGAAACAGTGCGGTGGTATGGCTTTCTTTATATCACCAACAGTGAATGGTGGCTTCGACGATGGGGCTCGATTGACAACCTCAACGCTGGAGTTACTTCTCTCCGTCGCTCGGCCACCGGAACCCATCTTTCAAACTTATTAACTTCCCTGTAAACATGATTCCAAAATTTAACTTCAATTCTATAGTAACGAAACTAAAATTTTAAAGCATGCTCAGATATTGAAAGACCAGTACCTGTACGTGAGAAGCGATGCGAAGCAATTTGTTTTCTCAAAGAAAGTTCAGTGATTTTAGAGTTTAGAACTCTGCGGATCGGGATGATGTAGAATTGTGGGTTCTGTAGCGTATTTATATTGTAAGCAACGAACATATTGGGTCATATTTGGCCAGCCACATGCGACCATCCAAGTTGCTGTTTGAAGTTTGGATGTTACCTTGAAGTTGCCCAAAATTTCAACACGTGCAGTGTTGCATAAAATTCTTGCATCTTTATGTTCATTTTTTAAATTGAGGAGATGTATTTTATAATTATGTCATGCAGACAAAATTGTAAATATGTTCACTTTTTAAACAATTTGTAAATATGTTAACTTTTTAATTATGTCATGTAAACACTTCGAAGTATGTTCCAAGAGAATTGTCTATTTTTGTTTCTATAATTGGTACTTAATAGTTTTTGCCAAAAAAATATATCCGGACAAAATAAAGGGGATTTCCCGGTTAAACCGATACCTTGGATTTCTTGTCCGATATAGGGTATTTTTCCATTCCTAACAGTTGCTTCATTTTGAAGGGTGCACTCAGATATTTTAAAACAAAATTTATAATAGATATCAAACATGGGTGAGATGCTTAGATTTAATAGTAAGATACAATGGTTTACAAGTTTGATTCGTATATCTACCATTCATTTTAATTTTATTCTTCTAAATTTTCCCTCCCAACACCCATAGGGCCTACAAAATGTTAAAGGATCTACGGTCATGAAACTCTTTAGAGGTTCATGACTTCGCCATATAACTGAGTTAATGGACGAAAAAGCTAGTCAAGCAAATGAATTCCCAGGCATGGTTTTCTCGGTTCCAAACTCCGACCTGAATTTGATCACTGATAAATTTCTTTGTTTCAACTCATGAACTGGACAGTAATGGAATGAAGATAGAGAAAAATGAGTAACTGGAGAGAATGTTTTATATCTGAGTAAAAACAATATGCAACATGTACTACATTTATATAATCCAAGATAAAACAGAAAGCCTAACTAATCCACAACAAAACTAATACTCCTCCTCAAGATGGACTCGTAAAGATATATTGAAGAGCCATCTTGGACATTAGTGGATTGAGTTTGTATAAAGGTAAAGTCTTGGTAAACATGTCGGCTAGCAGAATCTGGGTTTGGGTAGGAAGCAATTTTAGAGTATTCTCTGTACTTTGTCTTAAATAAAGTGACAATCCACTTCAATATGTTTAGTTCGTTCGTGGAAAGTCGGATTTGAAGCCAAATGAACTGCAGATGTGTTGTCACAATACATCAGAGCAGGAAGATCACTGTGAACCCTAAAATCCTGCAGAAGTTGTCTTAACCAAACGAGTTCACAATTAGTTGATGCCATGGCACGATATTCTACCTTAGTAGATGATCTAGATACTACTAAACCGCTTCTTAGAATGCCAAGAAACTAGAGAATCACCTGAGAAGATACAATATCCTATGACTGGTGGGAGAGTTATCAATGCCCATTACGCCTCTTTAGGGACGAAGATGGTAGATATGCTCATTTGCAGAGCTGATTGGTATCGTCATCATTATGGACTAAACAAAAAGTAAACCAAAGTAATTTGCTTAATCTTATCAATTATAATACTTTTTTCTTACAATAACTAATTATTATTTTGTTTGTTTGTTGTAGGAAACTGATGATATGATATATATTGAACCTTCATGAGGTGACAAATGATGATGGTGGATTGTTTTTTTGTTTTGTTCAAATGATAATAGCGATTTGGTTTTTGTTCAAATGATGATGGTTGATGAGTAGTGATTGTTTTGTGTAGTTTTAAACTACAGGTATTTGGTGTGTGATAGTTAATTGAATGACAAATAGTGGTGTTCATTTGTTTATGTTCGTTTAGGTCTGTTCGTTTATGTTCATTTAGGTCTGTTCGTTTATGCTCGTTTAGACCTGTTCGTTTATGCTCGTTTAGCCTGTTCGTTTATGTTCGGTCGTTTACATTCGCTTAGCATGTTAACGAACAAACATAAACGAACACGAACACATCTGATTTCTAAACGAATGAACACGAACCTAAAGATTTTCGTTCATTTAGCGTTCGTATTTGTTCGGTTAAGTTAAACGGACAAAATGAACAAGCCTCTCTTGATGTTCGTTCGGTTCGTTTATAGTCTTATTCTCAATCTTTTATAAAATAATCGACCAGTTCTCAAAGTGATGAGGTGGCGAAGAACCTCATTGTTGGGATGCTCTTATTACTAAAAAAAATTAACAATAAGTTTACAATTTCAAATATAATTGTAGACATCAATTACCACTATATTAGGAGTGATTGTTTATTTATCTTTCTCCTATTTTGAATTTATTAGTTTATTCATTATTTATTTTACTTTTTCATTGCCAATTTATCTTAAAGTCGTCGTTTTTATCTTGTTTTCTAGACAACCTATATTTATTTCAAGTGATATGGTCGATTATATTTAAAAAAATGTATCTTATTCCTCAAAAGGACATAATTGACTTTTCCCAATTCAAACTGTGTTAACTTCCCCCAAGTCAAATCGCTCCTTTATGGGCCCTACATTCAGCTTAAAAGTAACTTGCTCCAAAAATTCTTGGTCCCGCAACTAATGGTTTATGTGTGTTTGAACGTATTGTCCCGAACGATAAAGTTATTGTTAGTCCCAAAAGAGAATGACAAATACACAATAAATTAATTGTAGAAGTGGGTTGAACACAATTACACAATTTTTGCACTTAATTTTAATTCCTATAGATATAAATATCAAGAATTACACAAAGAAAACAAGATTGTTGCAAAAAGGAAAAGATTGAAAATATATTCTAACAATCTCACAAACACAAACGCAACTTAGGGGTTGTTTGTTTACCTTTTAATAGTTCTATTAAGAGACAACATCTGAATCATTAAGAGGTGAATCTTGTTTGGCAAAAAAAAAGTCTGCCTCTTAATGGTTCTAAAACCCTCTGAATAATTTTGTATCCTGATCATCCCTTAACCATTAAGTGTCCTGATTTCATTCTAAACAATTATCAAACAATTATATTTCATTTTGCACTATATCATGAAAGTCTCTTAATCATTCTGACCACTTAATCATTCTGTAACAAACCATTCAGCAACTGTCAAACAACCCCTAAAACACAAAGGAAAGCTATGTTGGAGGAGGAGTTGCCGGTTTTTTCTTATTCACGTAGAGCCTTTTTAAGGGGGAGGTTCTTGTAACATCCCGTCCCACATCGGTTGGTGAGGAGAACTAAGCACTTCTTATAAGGGTGTGGATACCTCATCCTAGCATGACCGGTTTTGGGGCTTGCGTTGTGCGGYTGCCAGAAACAAAACCGTGCGACTACTGCTTTGTGGTATAGCGGGCAGGTTAGTCAAAGCGGACAATATCATTGCTACGGGGTTCTGGGGGCGTTACAGTTCTGGTGCTTTTCATTCAAAGAAAGAAAGATCCAGATAGAGTTTTGGTGAGATTTCGGTTGATATTGGACGAGGTGAATTTTTACAAAGCTTTTGTCAAATACATGTGATTACGTCACACGTGATTTGTTTTGGTACATGAAATTATGTGATGTATTTGGATTCAAACTAACAAGTCAAGGAATTAAAATGGTGGTGGGGCATCCGTGATATATTAAGTCGGTTGATAGTCTTCATCGCCTAACATTATGAACGATGAGACACGGTCATCGCTCAAAGCTTTGGCCATATTGAGTACTCATCGCCTGATCATTGGCCGGATTGAGTACTCGTCGCCCAAGTCTTGCCCGATAAAGGAGTTTATCGTCCAATACTTTGCCCGATGAGGAAATTCATCGCCCAAGTTTTGGTCATTGAGCTTGTTCATTGTTTAAGTCTTGATAGTTGGCAGGATGACCGCGATAGGTGACGGGGCATCCACGATAGTTGGCAGGATGACCGCGATAGGTGACGGGGCATCCACGATAGTTGTCAGGATAACCGCGATAGGTGGCGGGGAATCCGCAATAGTTCTAACATTGAGATTAGGATTGGACTTGGTAATATTTTATTTATGACAGGTTTAAACACAAGAGAAATCACTCACTAGACCTTTTGGTCTAAACTTCAATCGTTTGTAAATAAAATTTACAAGTCAGCTCATGTTGGAAGATAAAGACAAAGGAAGGATATAACTGTTTGTTGGGTTAATTTTTGATAGATCAGTTTCTTGTATTCAGGATATTGGTTGATATGTACTGATATAACTAATCTGATTGTATATAATGGAACCTGTTTTATAATATGACATGTATTTTGGGATTTGGTTTTGTTTGGCTTTTACAGAAAAAACAATAATTTTATTCTCTTCAATTTGAAATCCATAATGATATTACTTTTTAATCCACTTTTTTAGGATTTTCCATTTGTAAAGGTTCTGTTCATGCGAGACAACCATTTTTCATGAAATCTATGAGACCACCTATAGCCGTTGGATTAACAATATCTCTCTTTCTCTCTCTCTCTCTCTCTATATATATATATATATGTATATATATATATATGGGAATGTTCAAACGAAAAGTTAAACATTTTATGAGAAGGCGGGAAGTGTGATATCACAATTCTCGCATTCTCGCAAAATGTTTAACTTGTCGCATTATCCTCCTCCTCTCTCTCTCTCTCTCTATATATATATATATGTGTGTGTGTGTGTGTGTGTGTGTGTAGGGGTGCTCAAAAACCCGATCAACCCAACCCAACCTAACCTAACGGAAAATAACTCAACCTGAAGCAACCCGATGTGTAACAGAGTTGCAAATTTTTTTATTGGGTTGATACTGAATTACTATTATTTGAACTCAATCTCATGAATCCGATATCATTTTATTTATTGGATTTGACATGATTGTTGAGTTTATATTAATATATACATTAGACAATTACATTATCAAGTACGCTTTTCATTCATACATATTTTCAATCTATTATCCATCTCTATATAAATCATTCTTATATATGTTCAATAACTGTGAACATATATATGTAAATTGAGAAATTTAATTGAATGTGATATACGTAAGAAATATTAATACA